CTACCATCTTCTATAATTTCATCATTTTCTGATGACAATGTATAAACCTATTTAAATACGACTACCGCAAGAAGTTCATCATTTTTCATTTTTTTCTAGTATTAGTACCATGTAAAATGTTATCTTTATTGAGTTAGCTAAATGTTCTTCATACCATATTCTTAGTGTGTTAAATCGAGAAGAAATAGTAATTTTGATATTCTCAAATGGTGACGAATGAATGAAAAATATTATATGATATTATCTTTGATGGCACATGATCTACTAACATCTCTAATTTTAATTGTAACATCGAAAATTGCATTTTGTACAAATGGCAGAGTTCTATCACACAAAACAAGCCAGTTTAAAGAAGATACATTTAATACCCTGATGTGCTTGAAAGACTATCCAAATATAGACTATCAAATACAAGACAAGATGGTTAGTGCAATTGTAATATTTACTAATTTTTTGACAAACAAAGTTTTACATTTATTATTGTACATTGATATATCATTTTATTTTTTAAAATGAAAAAATTTACACGAAATATTTACTATGTAAGATTTTAATTCCACCTACATATTGTAGTCGATCCATGCTCGGATAAAGGAATATCATTTTTACAACTATATAATTCTTTTGACAAAATAAATTTATTTATGTTCATCATTTCCTCACAAATTCATTATATTTGAGGGAGTAAAACTACGATTTTTAATTTAAAAAAAAAAAAACTCGAGCCGGCTCGACTCGGCCCGCTAAGACTCGAGCCGAAAGCTCGGACCTGTTTTGCTCGAGCTCTTTGAGTTTCGGCTCCGTTCGTTGACATGGTTAACCAACAGTTAGTTTTATAACTTGGGATCTTCAAATTTTAATATTTTGATACTTTTTAAAATTTTAAAATTGGAATAGGGATACGTTTAAAGAACGAATTTGATCTCTTAAGCACGGTGCAGTGAAAATATAATGCTTAAATGAATGAACAGAATAATATTGGAATAAAACGTGGATGAATATAATATTTTTTTAAAAATTTTAATAGTATATCTAAATTTTTAGAAAGTCTTTAAAAATCACAATTGAATGCATATAAACTTTTTAGATTTTCAAAAGTTTTTAAAAGTTCCAAATAAATACACCGTTAAAAGTGAGATAAATATGAGGGAAATAGTGCCTCTCAAAGAAAAAATAAAATAAAAGAAAAAGCAAGGGAAACTCCCGCCGATTTTTTGTCATTTGCTGTCTCTGCAAAAGTTCACGTAAACGGGTTTAGGTTTTCAGTTTTACGCTTTGAGCACCAAATGATTAGCAGAGCCACTGCATCAAGGGACAGGAACTTCTTCCTCAGCCTAATTAACAAGGCCAAAACGCTCTCGCACCTCAACCAAACCCACGCCCAAATAATCCACCACAACAATCTTTTCGATGACAACATTACAATAACAAAACTCGTACAGAAGCTCCTTGACCTCAAAGCCACGGCCCAAGCTAAGCTCCTATTTACGCACACCAAATCACCTGATCTCTTCCTCTACAATGTGCTTATTAAGGGCCTTAAAGCCTATCCCTTTGATTCTCTCGCTGTGTACAAAAACCTACGCAAAGAAACCACCTTAATTCCTGATAATTTTACGTACTCTTTTATTATTTTGGCTTTTTCGGGGGTTTCGTTATCTAAATCTGAAATTTTTGGTACTTTGCTTCATGGGCAGGCGATAATTTCTGGGTTTGGCTCGGAATTGTTTGTGGGATCGGCTTTGGTGGACATGTATATGAATTCTTCGCGGATTGTAAATGCATATAAGGTGTTTGGTGGAATATCTGAGCCAGATACGGTTCTTTGGAACACGGTGATATCTGGGTTGGTGAAAAATTGTTGCTATGATGAGGCCATTCGGGTTTTCCTTAACATGGTTAAGAGGACAATGCGGTTTGATTCTACTACATTAGCTGTGGTACTTTCAGCTATAGCTGAGTTGCAGGGGATGATTTTTGGATTGATGGTTCAGTCTTTGGCTATAAAGGTTGGCTGCCATTTTCACGAGCATGTGCTTACATGTTTGATTTCTTTGTATTCAAAATGTGGGGACACTTCGACTGCTCGGGTTTTCTTTGTGTTAATTGGGAAGCCGGATTTGATTGCCTACAATGCAATGATTTCTGGTTATTCTTGTAATAATAAAACTGAGTTATCAGTCCAGCTATTCAAAGAATTGCTTTTTTCAGGGGAGAGAGTTAACTCAAGTACTATGGTTGCTTTAATCCCAGTGTTCCATCCGTTTGGTCACTTGGATCTTACGAGTTTAATTCATGGTTTTTGTGTAAAGTACGGTGTCATTTTTATTTCTTCTGTTTCTACTGCATTGACTACAGTGTATTGTCGGTTGAATGAGATAGAATCTGCGAGGAAGCTTTTTGATGAATCGACAGAAAAAAGTTTGGCATTATGGAACTCCATGATATCAGGATATGCCCAAAATGGCCAGACAGAAATGGCAATATCACTTTTTCGTGAAATGCAGAATCTTGATATTCATCCAAATCCTGTCACAATTACCAGTATTCTATCTGCATGTTCTCAACTTGGTGCTTTAAGTTTGGGGAAATGGGTCCATGACATGATTAAGAGGGAGAGTTTTGAGTCCAACATCTTTGTGGCCACTGCTCTGGTTGACATGTACGCAAAGTGTGGGAGCATTAAGGAGGCGAGGAGATTATTTGACATGATGAGAGAAAAAAATGTGGTGACTTGGAATGCTATGATTTCTGGGTATGGCCTTCATGGACATGGACCCGAAGCATTGCTTCTGTTTGATGAGATGTTATGTTATGGGGTTCCCCCAACAGGGGTTACTTTCCTTTCCATTTTGTATGCTTGCAGTCATGCTGGCTTGGTGGCAGAAGGTGAGAAAATTTTCCATTCAATGGTCCATGATCACTGCTTCAAGCCCAGTCCCGAGCACTATGCCTGCATGGTGGACATACTTGGCCGAGCTGGAAAATTGCAAGATGCCCTGGAATTTATAAACAGGATGCCTATTAAGCCAGGTCCTGCGGAATGGGGTGCACTGCTGGGCGCTTGCATGATTCACAAGAATTCTAACTTAGCTCATTTGGCATCTGATAAGTTGTTTCAACTCGACCCAGAAAATGTAGGATACTATGTTCTACTGTCAAACATATACTCTACTGATCATAATTACTCTCGGGCTGCTTTAGTGCGTCAAGTTGTTAAAAAGAGAAATCTGGCAAAGTCCCCTGGTTGCACTTTGATTGAGGTCAAGGGACACCCTCATGTCTTTATGTCCAGTGACTGGTCCCACCCAGAATCAAAATCAATTTATGCAATGCTTGAAAAGTTAATGGAGAAAATGAGGGATGCTGGATACCAGATGGAGACCACCACAGCATTGCATGATGTAGAGGAAGAAGAGAAGGAGCTAATGGTGAAAGTTCATAGCGAGAAGCTGGCCATTGTTTTTGGTCTTATAACGTCTGAACCAGGAGCCGAGATTAGAATTATCAAGAACCTTAGGGTTTGTCTTGACTGCCATAATTTTACCAAATTTGTATCTAAAATCACTGAGAGAATAATCATTGTGAGGGATGCTAATAGGTTTCATCATTTTAAAGATGGAGCATGTTCTTGTGGAGACTACTGGTAGATACTTGCGTATTGGTGAAGAATATCACACTGGGGAAGAGAGATTCTCCTTCATGCCTTGTTTTCCTGGTGTAACAAGCTATCAACAATCAAGAAACTCCATTCTAAATTCTTTTTATCTAGACATCATTCATAAGGGATTTGGCATTTCCATCGATTCCTATGGATTGGATCAAAAATAATTCTTGAATGAGGCCAGCTATGAATCAAAGAAGATATCTGTATTGGTTCTACCTCCTTTCTTTATGAAAAGAATTCATCTTTTTGCCTACCCGGGATGTTAGAATGACTGCTAACCAACCACTACCTGCTATTTTCCATAACACATTTGTTCTGCACTCAGATGTACTGTCTCATTGAAGATGGAGATTGCTTGAGCAGCAGCTTAGGGAGAGAGATGGTATCTGTTGATAACTTTAACCTTTTATTTTGCTAAGGTTTGATCAGCTTTGTCTAAGAATTAATACATTTGTTTTCATTATAAATTTCATAATGGAAGAAAAGAAATAGATTCAGACCATGATATAAGAAAACCTCTGTCAGAGTTACATTATTTGATCACTCTCAGAACAGCCTAATAATTTCTCTTATTGCAGCTGTTTCATCATGTACAGCTTTTCTTCTTTTCTCTTCGGTAATGCTGAATAATTCCCATGATGCCGAACAATTTTGTTCTCAATTTAGACTTACAAAAATAATGTTTATTCATGCTCTATGAGCTGCACTATCAATAGTTTATTTGACAAAATATAATTATATGTTTGTTTGACTATTAGACATTGGATTGATCATCCTTGTCCAAACCAACAATTTAGCAAAAGTGTGCAGTATTTCTTTTAGTCGCGTACAAAATTGAATACAGTTCTTATGCTAAACAAAAAATTGGCTGCTTGACAAACACGAGATCCTCATAACCAAAACACGTTGTATATCTGTAGAGTGTGGCTTTCAGGAAGAAGTATGAGAAATGTATCAGCAATTGACCCCACATTGCTTGGTATCAGGCCCCTTAGTTTTTAATATGAATGGGTCAATCCGGACCCATAACAAGGAGAAGATAGAAGCCAAAAGTACTGACCATATAACAACAATAGTAGGTGTCCTATTCTGCTTACCCATGAGACCTTTTAGGAATGGATAGAGATGTACAATCACCCAAAAGGCAAAGAATAGCTTCCCAAACAGGGGACCCCATGATTGGTACCCATTGTTTATGGCATCAGAGATTCCAGCCACAACACCAACCAAGTTTATAATTAAAATAGTTGTTGGAGGGATTAGAAGGGTTGTCCACTTGAAAGCATATAGCTCTCCAAATTCCTCATCATCCGTTGCCTTCGATGTGACTGTGAAGTTTGTGTCTATACCAGCCAAAACCTTGAGAAGACCTTGAATAACGGCAAACAGGTGAGCGGACACACCACCAATCACCCAAAATTGTTCATTTCTCCACCATTCCTCAATACTAACTCCACTCCACCTTAGCTCTAGGATGCCAGTTGTAAAAATGGAGAGAAAGAGAGCAATGAAAAAGAGACTTGCAAAGGTACTTATCTGAATCAAGCAGAAATGAAGACTGAAGTTTAGAAAACTGAAGTATATAGGACTTGACAGAAATAAGGATCATTTTTTTACCTCTGGCATTATGAACTTTCCAGTGAGCAAGCAGATGGCAGGGAGGGTACAATATGCAAGAAGAGGTAGGGAGGTAAATGGATAGACAGTCGTATTAATATATGCAAATCGCTCAAGCCACTTGAGTTTTCCATCTTTGTAGCCATACCAAACAGGGCTGTGACGGCTGAAAAAGATTTCAACAGAACCAAGAGCCCAACGCAGCACCTGATTGAGACGATCTGATAGATTAATTGGAGCAGATCCCTTAAAGGCGGCCCTTTTGGGCATACAGTAAATGGACCTCCAACCACGGCAATGCATCTTGAATCCTGTTAGGATATCTTCTGTGATAGAGCCATAAATCCAGCCCAACTGCATGTTTATGAGTTATCAGAAGGAGACATGAGTAATGAAAGTAATAAATATTAAATATTATGATAGAAAATAAGATATTAAGACCTAATGCAGGTCTAGCATGCCATCAATCATTCTGTAGAAAGGGGTTATGTGTATATTTATGCATTCCACTTTCTCTAGTAAGCAGATATTTTCACTGTACCTCAGAACCCCACTCTGTCTTGTCTTCATAGCCACAACTGATGACATGAATGGCTTCTTTGAGAAGGGCCGCTGGGCTTGAGGAAGGTGGAACTCCACCTTCAACCATTAATGTTGAAGTCACAAAAATTGGTGACTGTCCAAATTTCTTTTCAAAGTTCATCTGAGACATCAAGAGCTCTTTGTCATCATCAAATCCTGAGCCAGACAACGTGAAATATATGAATTTCAGTATACCTGGCAGAAAATCAATTGGTATTTTTATTGACTATTGGAAATGCAATGACTGAAAACCTATAGTGTTTGCACTGCCATTGACACCATCCTTCGAATACTTAGGAAGCTTTTTGCGACGTCCAAAGCATGGGCAGCAATCACAGCTTACCATCTTTGGGCGCTTAGGACCCTTTGGAGGTTCATAGCCATATAAAGCTTGTCTTCTAAAAACACATCCTGTGCCAACATAGACCGGACCTTGAATTCCATCTAAGCCTTTCATGTTGATCTATGCAAGAGAAGAAATAAAAGCATAGGTGAATTATTGTAAATACAATGGAAAAGATTCTGGGCTACTAAGCATTTCCTTCTGTTCATAGCCTCTCTGTTATTATGGAAATTCTATCATTTCTATGTGGCATTTTTTTGCAGGGACTTACATCAAAGAAGACTGTGTTTCTGTTGGCATATCTATCATGCCTGTCTATTCCATCAAATCTCTGAGGGAACTGAACATAGCAAACCTTCTTTCCAACTTGTGGATCCATCAAGAAACACATTGCTTCTCTCACAGCCTTGCTGTTGTTTAAGTAATGGTCACAGTCCAAGTTCAGCATGAATGGAGCATTGGTAAGAACACCAGAAACACGAACCTGAGAAATTTGGTAAAAAAAATAATATTATTTCTCATTCAGGAGTCTGACCTCTGTTACTAATGCGTTTTAGCAAACTGATGAAAAGCCAAAAATTTGTTTGAGGTTGTTGCTAATTAACAGCCAATGGATGGAAGATATTATGATTACCAGGGCATTCATTGCACCGGCTTTTTTGTGATGCTGGAAACCAGGTCTCTTCTCACGAGAAACATAAACTAGGCGAGGAAGTTCATTTCCTTCCATGTCATGGCCTCCACTATGGCCTAGAAAGACTTGAATCATACCAGGGTGATCCTTGGTGTTGTTTCCAGGCCATGGTGTCCCATCTTGCATGATCCATCCTCCCAGTGGAACTTTTGTGGCTTTTGCAACCAGTGCATTAATTCTTACCTTGAACTCTTCATATTCTCTCTGTCAAACATTCCAATAAGCATATGTCATATCCAACTTTGTGATTATCATATTGAAATCACAAGCGTTGATATTATACCTTCATAGCTCTTCGCTCCTTTACAAATGTTGGCTGCACTTTATCCTTCAGATAATCAACCTTTTCAGAGAAGTACATCTCTGGGGCACGAGGCTCTATAGAAAATTTCTTGCAGAAAGGAACCCATTTTCGAGCAAATTCTGCTGTTTCTGATAGCGATTCAAAGGTGCACATTGAAGCGCCATCATCAGATATGTAGCATGATATTTTATCAACAGGGTAATCCATGGCCAATATTGAGAGCACAGTGTTTGCTGTAACGAGAGGTGGTTCCTTCGTGGGATCTACTGTGCTGACAAATATGTCTACTGGAGCTAGCATGTTGGGTTCACCTTCCCTCTCATACCTGCATCAGAATTTTGTTAAATTATATGTGCTCACGGAAACATTGATAAAATCTGCTGCAGTTTTCTTGTGTATTAGCTATACATTATAAATTAGTAGTAATTTTTAACTCCACTGGGATGTTGATGTAAATTTATGTTTTCTATTCTGCTCTTTTGAAACTTGGAATTACGCTATTGGTTACATCTGTTGATTACTTTTGAACTTGATCTAATTACTTAATAATTCTCATAATATCATTACAAAATGCTGGTTTAATATGACGCAAGGTGAAATATTAGCTTTATTTGTATAAAATTCTTTTCACTGACAATGTATATAGGAGTATAACTCTTTGTTCCATTTATTATTTCTTTCCATTTTTCTTGATAAGAAAAATAGGAGAGTTCTTACCTCAGAGAAAGACGATCAAGGTAAGTCTCACGATCAATGGGAAACCATTTAGGGAACTGATCAAGGATCCATGAGAAAGCAAACCAGATCTCACATATAACAGAAGTAAGCCAGAGCCCTAAAGCATCATGCACAGGGTTCAAAATTCTATGACGTAGGAAGAAGGCCAGAATTGCCAGCCTAGCCACAATTACCATACGGTAAGGATTGATTTTGCTAGATGCAATTGGTACTTTCCTTGAAAGTGGCTGCCTTGCTTCATCTACACTGCATTTTCACATATAACAAATGTCTACTTAGTTACGTCTAGAATTGATAGAAGCTAACTAAATTTTAAAGTGTTTTTTTTTTTTTTTTAACTTCTTTTGATAATCAATTCCCTTGAAATGTCTCAAAGGATTCCCTTTTAGAAGATACAGAAACAAAACATAAGAAATTTAAATATTTTAAATTTTAGTTATAAGCTAGTCAATATTTTGGAAAGCTTTGTATAGACACGTTCTCTATGAAAGGGGTTGGAAATTGAATCACTGTCTTGTAGACAGAAGACTATCTTAATTCAGGGATTTTATGATATTTCCATTATGATTGCCAAAAAGCTTCTGGTTTCATCTTCCTCTGAACTGAAGTGGAAAATCAACATATACATTCTTCTCAAACAGCCTATTTAGTTTTAGGTGAAACTTTGATTACTTACATGGCCAGGTCAACGTCAGCCGAGTCATCTGGTTCGGGCCCCAAATTTCCTTGCTGCATTTTCCAATCATCCATCCTCTCTTTCCATCCAATCTCCTTCTTATCATCCCATCTTGCACTCCCTGTTCTCAATATCATGCAATGTGTTGTAGAACATCAACAAAAATATCCATGCGCCAATACATTAACATTTTAGCACAAAAGTGCATCCAATTGAGCATATAAACTTAGTTGTTTCGTGTAATTTTTTACCAGGCTCGGATGGTGGATACGGGTGTACCCGTTTATGCAGAGAGGATCCCACCATCTGCTCTCCATAAGCATGATTGGAAATCGGGATTTCACCGCTAACCTGTATCCGTGGAAGCAAAGTTCACAAGAAATGATATCCAGGTGGTCAGTAAATGCTGAATTAAAATTGAAGACAAAAAAAAAAAGGTGTTTTTTTAATCCTACAGGACGAGAGCGGACCCCAGCTATAACGGGCGGGTACTGGGCAGTATCATCATCTTCAGGTCCTCTCCCATAACTCATCTTCCCATGAAGCATGGCTTCAGCAATATTTGTGTTTGTGTTTTTCTCATCAATGTTGAATTCATGTTCAATGTCATCGATATCTTCCTCATCATCGTCTCCCTCGACCCTTGGACTCCCTTAAGACACCAAAAATATAATAAGATGCAGTTAGATTCTAAATCGAATATATATAGAAGTAAGATAGTAGTAAATAACATAATTAGTGGAAATACGTAGTTGAGTATATCAAGTTGCAATAAATACCTTTAAGGCGCTTGTATCTGGTTTTGCACTGGGGGCAAAGTTGGGTTCCTTCTCTCCTCTCATACTCATAGCACGGCCGGCACACCGGAAAACCACACTCATTGCATGCCACGAACAGTTCCCCGTCGACCGTTAGGCCAACCTCATCACCACATATTTCACAAACTTGGCCACTCAGATTTTTCAAAGCCTTAGGCTACAACACCCATCAGAATGCATTAGTAAACATACCTTTACTTGTTTCATACATTGGATTGTACATTACTCTTCTTTCTTTCTTAATCTTATTCAGTTCTTTTTCAACGTACCAAGCGTGCATGCCATTACAGTTATATGTATAAGTATATTGTTACCTCTTCATGGCCGTGGATGACGACTAGTTCATTCCTGTTGTGAGAGCCAGCGACAAGTCCAGCGCTGGCTTCCATTGATGGAGGTGGTGTGTGTACTGTGTGAATTTTAGAATGGAGACTGATCGGGCAATGGTATGGTAAGGGCTTCTTTTTAAGGAATACTAAAAGGGTAGAATTAATATCATTTTCTTGTCCATTTTTTGCCACCTAATGTGGGCAGATATTGTTGGTTGCAGAGTCTCCATTGCCTTCAAGTTAAGCTTCTTCTGTTCCAACAACCTTAAAGCATCCTCTTCGTGGCCTTTTTTCAACGACCACCTTTGCCATTCATATTTCTATGAATTACTATTATCTTTTATTTAATATCGTTGAATTGCCTTTTTCATAATTAATTATCAATTATTATCTTAAGATTATGTCCTTTATTAGAAATGATTACTGATAGAAATACAAGTAACTTGTATTGATTTTAGGTTTGTATTCTTCTTCTGAATAGGCATTGTTTAGACCACCACGAAGAGGGGAAAAGTTTATGCATCAGGCATTTTCTTTACCAAAATTAAAAATCAGGTCCTCAAGTTTAAAATTGTAAAAATCAGGTTTTATTTTGAATTAATTAATTATATTTCATAATTATTATATTAAATTAAATATTTAACTGTAATATAATAAAATCACCCCACCCCACCCCACCCCACCCCACCCCACCACC